TCATTTCATTTCTTTATTTGGGTAACATCAGGGACAAAGAACAAACGAACTTGTTCTTTCCGTATCTCCAGTTTCCATTTCTCATGGATAGATCTCATGGAACCGGATACACCCAGAATCCCTAATTGCAATGGTAAGGAATGAACCTCGAAAGAGAAGGAAATAAAATTTTGTAGGGACGTCAGAGGACTGATGCCCAGAAATAGGGGGAAAGAAGTATAGTAACATATAAAAGGATTTTACGCACAGTTTCAAATTTTGGATTCCTTGCTTAGAAATTATGTCTGCAAAATATGCGCTAAAACTATAAAGTCATCAAACATTCAAATCATAAGAAAACATCTTCACCAACTCAATCAATAATAAGACAGAAGTGTCTCTGAATTATGGAGACAGACCAGGAAGGATATGATGCATCAAACACAACAACCGAAAAAATCCCAACCTAGAATGAAACAGAGATGAGCAAACTTGTTTATATCCTGGATTTTGTATAGCCGATGGTCCAGACAAATGGCGATCATGTCTTCATGCATAGTTCAACCTGAAAATGTCATTCAACACATAGAAGCTTCCCTGAGGCGTCGGCATCAAATGGAACATCTGAGAGAAGAAAGCATCAACAGGAACACTGATTAGAAAAATTAATGGCAGATAAAAAAGAGAAAGTCCACATAAAAAATGCAGGTAGTTAGGAAATCTAGACATATAGAAAGGTTCTATGAACAAAACTAAATAACTTGGGACAGCATCCAACAATTAAAACATGTAAAGAAAATTTCACTTCAGAAAGAAAAATAGAAATTTACTTCAAACATGGGCAAGACATAACCTAAGAGAAAATCTCAATGTCTAAGGGTCATGAAAGGAGATATATCTTATTGGATTTCTTTATCCTTGAACACCATCTGCAGAAATCTGTAATCAACAACTGCACTGCAGTCTGTGTCAATGAATCACATGGAACAATAATATATAACGCTAGCAAGAAAATGTAGGGTAAAAGCTGTGTTAAGCTTATTGTATCACAATGTTATTTGCTTAAAATGACACACTTAGATTCATATAGAAGCTACCCCCAAGAGGGTGGCTCAATGGTAAGAGCTTGAGATTTCAAGTTTGAGATCTTAAGTTCGAATCTTGAGTCAGGTCGGGAGAGATTTAGGAAAAAGAGAGGAATATCTCCTCTTAGATGTACAAAATATATATATACAAGGTTCAGGTGGGGAGAGATTTAGGAAAAAGGGAGGAATATCTCCTCTTGGATGTACAAAAAATATATATATAGAAGCAAAGACAGGAAATGGCTTTTCAACAAATACACATTCAAGCTACAACTGCCAAAATCTAAGCAATTTTTAGCCATTTAGGTCAATTTTGCAAACCCCCTACCAGCTAGGAATTCTTGCATTGAAGTATTACCAAAAGTAACAATGGGGACGAGACTTCCAAGTCTTTAACAAACAAATTGATTCTTGAAAATGATGAAGTAGTTAAGTGCTGTCAGACTTGATTAAAATAATTATCTATTTTAAGATGAAAGCGCTATTAATTGATGTCTATACATGTAACACAAATGAGATAATTATCCACCAAGAATCTCATATTTCACCACATAAACAGCCTCACATTTTGCCTAACAATGATGCTACAGGAAACACCAATGAACCAATAATTGTTGACTTACTATCAAAAAATAAAAAGATCACTGTTGACTACTCAATAGCCACCGAAATTGAGGCGAAACATTTCGCTAAGTAAAACAATAATGATAGATCTATAAATTTAAAAGATAATAAAAATCATATATATACACACAGGCAGAAACTGCAAACAGCAATCGCTCAAGACGAACGAGAGAAAAGACTATATAAAACACCAAATCTCAATGAGTCGCAATCGAACTCCAGATTTCAATCTATGTAAACTACAGAATTGGAACTCCAAAAATATAGATCGATCAACAACAACTCGAATCGACATCTCTTGTGCACAAATAAAGCAAAACAATGAAGCATACAATTTACGTAATAAAAACCATGAAAATAGAAATCGACTGAGATCGGCAACAGATCGGTCCTAAAATTACAAATCGAAACCCTAACAAACACTGGAAGAATGCCAAATAGGCAATCATCATTCACATAAAAATTGCAAGCAATAAATATGCATATGCACACCTGGCTGAACTTGAGAGCATGCTGTTCACCGGCGAGTTGGAGGTTACCGCTGACGAAGACCAGCATCCCGCCAGCGGGACCGGACGGCTGGCAATCGACGGTGGAAATACTATGCTGACACTGCTGGAAGGGGAGACTGGTGAGTTTGGCCACGATGTTTTGCGAGCCTTGGATCTTTTGACCTTCGAAGGACAACATCGAACTTTCCTGGTAGAGATTTGCAAGGCCGGCACGATTCGCATCGAAGGTGCTGTAGTAGTGCTCGACGAAGGCCTTGGACAAGGAGTCGGGATCCATCCGATTCCGGTTTTCAAACTCCGGCTGAGAGTACGGCCGCGAGAGAGTGAGAGGGAGAGGGAGAGGGGGAGGAGATGAAATGAAACGACAGGGTTCTTATAATAATGAATGAGAGAAATATAGGAGTTTGATTTGATTTTTATTTTGGATCGTCGACGATCTACCATCACGGCGATAACTCATGAGTTAATGTTTTGTACACAGTATTTAGTGTAGTTTAGTTTATAATAATTTACTGGAACAGTTCAGCGTTTGCGTGGGTGTAACGCTGCTTTTTCTAAAAAAATTATTTAACAAAATTCAATTATTAAAAAAATTGTTTTTCTCCCTAGTTTTGCTTTTGGAAGAGTATTTTATAATAAGATTATAAAATACCGATCTTGAATAAGAAAATATTCTCTAATATGAAAGTCTTCTTATTTAAGATTTTTTATTTTATTATTTAAAATAATTCAAATGGTAAGGCAATGGATTCTTTTACTTTTTATTGTAACTCTTAAAATAAGTTTTATAACTTCAAGTGTTAAATTTATCGGGAAAGTATGCATTAGTTTTACCTCCCAAAAAAAGAAAATTTTGAAATCCTAACCAAAACGACGTCGTTTTTTAATCCTTAAACCCCAGCTCTGCTTCATCCCTTCTGCAATCATCTCCATCTCTTTTAAGACTCTTCTACAATCGTCTTCATCATCTCCAATATGAACAAAGTGCCAAACAAATTATGAGGATTGTAAGAAGGAAGTAAAGGGACCACAATTCCGGAAATGATAGGAATAAGGACCATCGATTTCCCTAAATTTATGCAAACAAAATCTAACATCGCCTCCTCTGATCCCTTCAATTTTGCACTCAAAAACTCAGCCCCTGCTGTCGCCCCCTCCACAATCATCTCCATCTCCCTTTTTGCCCCCTTTACAATCATTGAAAACTTAAAAAAAAAAAAAAAAAGAGACCCAAGAAAGCACTTACCGTCCCTCGATTATCGAAGATGATGAATTGCAGTGGTAGAGTTGGGTTGGCGGCGTGGGATTGTGTTTGAAAAATTGAAGGAATCAGAGGAGTTGGGGAGATGAGGAGGCGATTGAGATGATTGCAGAAGAGCGAAGAAGGAGACGGAGATGATTGTCGGAGGAGGCGAGGAGCAGGGGCTGAAGAAAGCAAAATCTATATGGAAATGAATTAAAATAAAGGAGATGGAGACGATTTAAAATAAATTAACAAACCTAGATTTGGGTTTCCAAAATCTATATGGAAATGAGAGGAAATGAAGAAAGCAATCATGGCTAGACCATTCAAAAACAAACCTAGAAAAGAAACCCAAATCTGGGTTTCCTCTATTATAACTAAAATTGCAATTTCAATTCTCATCATTCAATTTCAACACTATTATAACCACAATCACAGCAACGAAACTTGCAAAACCCAAATAAATTGGTTTGCAACTCCCTCAAGCTCGTGTGACAAAGGAACATAAATCTCGATTTCTTTTGTTTCATGGCACTTCGAACTCGTTAGGAGGCATGGTTATGTCTCTTGGCTTCTAATCACCTCAACCTCACATGAGGGAAAAGGAGGAAAGGGAGAGATGGAGATGATTGCAGAGGGAGCGACATTACTGGTGGGTTTTTTGAGTGAAAAATTGAAGGAATGGAGGAGGCAAGGAGTAGGGGTTGGAATTTTTAAGAGAAGAGACGAACAGCAGGACTAGGTTTTTGAGAGGAAAATGACGTTGTTTTGGTTGGAACTCCAAATTTTTTTTGGGAAGTAGTTCTGATGCACACTTTACCGTAAATTTATTAATAAATAAATATTATTTTATAAATTAAACTTAAAATTTTGATAATAGTATTTAATTAATTTTTTAAATGCACATAGTTAATATTAAGGTATACTCTTAAAATTATTTTAAAAAATTAATTTTAAGGTGTGTAAAATTTAAATCAAAGCCATGCTAACATTGAATACTCAAAAAAATATTTTTTCTCATTATTTTTGAAGAATGTGAATCCATGTTTTAAGTAGTTTAGCACTAATATTTTTATTTTTTAATTAAAAAAAGATTTTAAGTATGAATTACATGACTTAGTTACAAAAATGAATTAATTTACGAAAATGAGTTAAAAGGATGAAAAAGATTGGTTGCAGAGTATATAACTAAAAATCAAAAGAGAAAAACTCATATTTGAAGTCACTTGACAAATAAACATGTATAAGTTAATAAACTCAACAAAAGTTTTTTGGAGTTATGTATCTAGTATTATTTTTTTATTATTATGATTAAAATTACATAAATATATTATGATCGCATACCCTAAAAAAGTGAGATAAAAATTCTCATATTTCACATTATGTATTAACATTAAGAATTGTGATGTGTTCTATCACGAGATATTATTTATTTTAACTTATAGATCTCATAATTTTGTCTTTAAAATGACCCTTATAGAGAAGGGGATGACCTTTATTTATGAGCCTTAACTCTCCTTCATTTACCTTTAATGTAGCATTCTAACCTCACTCCACCATTACACCATTAGCTCCTCATCAAGGCAGTTGTGGCATAACAATTTGTCAGTGTGCTGGTAGGTTCCTACAAATGATGCTAAATGTTGGCCCCAGAAAGTAATGATCAAGATTTTGAGCTAGAATATGGATGGAGGTGATCCACAGACACCTACAAGATAAGAAAATGTTAAAGTTTGATCAGAAACCAAATTTGGTTTCTGGCTTGGCACTCTAATGCTCAACATTAGTAGAGGAAAAATAGAGTGAGTGTGTGTATGAAAAAGATAAAATCTGAGAGAGGAAAGTGAGTGCAATATGAGTGAATGAGTGAGAATGAGTGGAGGGGATATTCGATGGTTATCTTCACATGGTCCCTCTTTGTTGCCTCTGAGTTTTTGATCCTTTCATCCTTTAATGAAAGCATGCCACTTATCTATTTCTAAAATGGTCCTCAGATAAAGCAATTACCTAGAATATTTCACAAGATTCATGGGCTTGAGTCAAGTTGCTACAAGCTCAACCCAATGGGTCCATCCGAATCAAATTCTTGGCATAACACCATTTATTCTATTAGGAATCTATACGGGCCGTTCTTGCTATAATCTCACCATATAATAATCATATGTTAGTTTTGTTTTAAAATGCTTATCAGTTGCTTTAAATTTTAGTTTTTTCTTTTATTTTTTTATTATCTTAAAAAATATAAAAATATTAATTAAAATATATATTAAATATATTTTATATATTTTATATGTTTTGTGATATTAAAAGACTAAAAAACCAACAACTATAATTATAAGACAACAATCTAAACCAATCCATTGTAAAATAATTCTTTTTACAAGAAGAATGCTAATCGTTGGCATAATTTTTTTTTTTATATTAATAGTTGAAATTTTTTAATTATTAACTATTTAAATAACTCAATAATTATCTCTTTTTCATAAAACTAGGATATTTTGAACTTGATTCATAGAGTATGAGTAAAGAAAGTTAAGATGAAGCCTGAACCAATTAGATGGTGTGTGTATATAATTTGCCAACGCATAACTGGTGTATATTGTTGTTGTAAAAAAATATACAAATTAAAGCATAAAAGCTTTACATTAATATTAATTAACGAGTGAAAGAGTAGCAAGTAATGGTAAAATTAAATTAAAATTGCACATAAAAAAAGTAATGGTAAAATTAGAAACAAGATAATTAATTATTTAATTTAGTTAAATTGACAGATATAATTTAAAGATGGTGTATCAAATTTCTCAACCAAACTTTTCCCGACAATTTTTTGAAGCAAACTTTGAAGAGAAAACCCACCTTTGTAAATCTTCAAATTACTAGCAAGCAAAAATCAGTTAAGCTCCTTTGAAATAAATCCTGCGCCTCCCTTCTTGAAACAAGTATTT